CTTGGTGTTCATCCCGATGAAAGGTACAAAACTGCATTCTGTCTACCAAATCGTCACCTTCAATGGAACGTTCTACCTTTCGGCCTCAAAACAGCGCCATCACTATTCCAACAAGCGATGCTCCGAATATTCAAACCTATACTCCATACGTCGTTAATCTACATCGACGACATCCTTTTATTCTCGACTGATGAAAAAGACCATATTCAATTACTTCAGCAGTTTCAAGACATCATCAGAGAATATGGAATTATGCTCTCCGCCAGAAAAATGGTCATAGCCCAGCCCAACATTGACTTTCTTGGCATGCAGATTGCAAATGGTAAATTTACACCACAAGCCCATCTTGCTACAGCACTTCTAGATTTTCCGGATGAAAATCTCACAAGGCGACAAGTTCAACAATTCCTTGGCGTAATCAANTATGTTAGCGACTTTATCNCNNAATTTTCNNAGNTGACAAGACCGCTACAGAAGATGCTGACAANGAATCCACCCCAGTGGACGAAACGACAAACTGAGGCTGTCAAAAGTCTAAAGCTAGAGGTACAGAAGCTACCACCTTTAAAGATTCNCTCAACAGGAACACGNATTTTGCAGANAGACGCNAGTGACAAATATTGGGGCGCCATTTTATTNGAAGANATAAATNGNAAACGTCAAATNTGCGGNTACAAGAGTGNACGCTTTAAAGACTNGGAGTTCCATTATCACTCCACGTTCAAAGAAATCCTAGCAGTCAAAAGAGCTATCGAGAAGTTCGAGTTCCATCTGATTGGACACAAATTTCGCATCGAGAGGATATGTCATCTTTTCCAAAAATGCTACAATTCAAGCAAAAGATGGTCCCACATCAACAGCTGTTACGATGGAGCGAATGGTTTTCAAAGTATGATTTCGAGTCCTTCTATTTAAAGGGCACGAAGAATACTCTTACTGACATGCTCAGTCGAAGCCCAGTAAAGGAAATACAAATGATGGCGAACTCTTCTACAAAACGTTACTACGACTTCACCTTCAACATGCCAGAAGATGCCCATCAGCTTATCGACATGAGAACTTTACACGAGCATCTCAACGAAAAGATTTTCTTCTACCAATCCATCATCCTGTCAAGATACGGAATCAACAGCTTCTGAAAAGATTTTCATCATACCAATGATTTCTCTATGTATACAGACCAGATTCTTATGATATTTATATATATACGCAATTTTGCTGCTTTAAAAAAAAATAAAAATTATAAGTCTCCCTTCTTTTGGTTTCTTGTAACGTTGGGTTGATTATTATAACTATATAGTTTGAAACCGAGTTGGTTTACTCTTAACCAGATTTTAATCGATTAGGTGCGGGATATGGTTTCCGCTCTGAATTTTTGAAGTGGTTGTTAGGACCCCTACCCATGTAAAGGTCCAAACCAAGGTGTCATGGCAAGAACCGGATCAATCATTTATATGTGGGAGTCCTGTTGGTCGTTTCCTAATGAACTTAAAAATCTAATCCTAATTACAATTGGATAAACATTATAATGTAAAACAGAAATAACAAGCGTGTCTTGTGCCAAAAAGAAAAAGAAAATGAAGCCAAAACGTTGGGAAATTAATCACATAATCCTTTAAAAACAGTTTAACGGGCTAAAGACATAAGATTGATTCATACTTGTTGAAAACGAGTACTGAGAATTTCAAGTACTTGCTAAAAAGAGGTTCACTTGCGAGGTACTTGTCCCGTTAAATTCCTTGTTACTTGCGAGTACTTATATATTACTTACGAGTTACTTGCATACTATTTGCTTATAACTTGCACACTATTTGCATATAATTTGCTTATTATTTGTCTCATTTTTTTTTTGTCAACTAGATTTTTAGCCCGCGCATGCGCCTACACTTTTAATTATAATATATATTTTTGTTTATGGTTTTTCACATTAGGTATGTAATGTTCATAATATTTATAAGATTTTTTTTTGTTCAAATCAAATATGTAGTCAAATTTCATGTAGAGATAAATGAAATATAATTTGNTAATGCAAAATGAACTTGAAGTCATATTTGTTTACATTGTCTCACAACTTTTTTATATGTATTCTGAATAAAGTTTTCATTTTTTTTGGGTCATATTTTTATGGTTCATTGTTATAACTTTTTTACTGTTCAATAGTTTTACATTATATTTACAATTTTAGACTCCTGGAAAAAAAAATATTCCCTCTCTTTAAACAAATATAACTTGATCATTTCAATTCACATATTTTTATTCTTTTGTTCAATGAAATTGAGCAAAAGAGTTGGCATCCTCATGCCAAATCCTCATAGCCACATGAGAACCAACTCAATATGGAATGCATCATATAATGTCTCTTACTCTCTTTCACATGCACTCGCTTTTGATACAATGTTCTGGTTACCTTACGATAATCTTGTTTGCATATTCTTTGAAATTTATTATTTTAACTTGATGTACGTAAGATCTCCGTTATCATCGTAAAATCATAACAATTTTTGTTTTCTTTCTCATACATTATGTACGGACGAAAGAACGGAACTGTATATCCCTCCATAACCACTATACATTGTTTTCTTATCATTTGTTTCCGTCATTAATTTATAAGAATTTTTATTACGGTTTTGTTTAAAAATAGCAGAACAGAGGTTGAAACTTTCTATCGAGAAATAGGATGGTATTTTGATGTTTTTTTATTTATTGGATTTGTCCTCCGAAAGTCGTGATTGGTTTTTCGATGGTGTATATTCTTTTATAGTCTAGGAACATTTCGTCCAGAAATGGAGGAGATGATGCAAACTTAAAAAAAAGGTGTGAAACTTTGAATTTGGATAACCGTATACATTCAACCAAAAGTGGTTCAGTTAAAATGTTTTGAAATGTTTTAACTTTGTATACATTGAACCGAATCTGGTTCAATTAAAATGTTTGAATGAATGATCCTTGCTAGCTACACTCTCAATATCCGGATGAAAGATGCAAGTCATGTTTAGAATTGCCTCCAGACCGGGTGTAGTGCACCTTCATTGTTATTTCCATGGTGTCGACCGCCACCATTCTCTCGTTCTNATTGTTTAGACTGAATAGATAACAATGAAACCTCTGAGGATGTGGAAGGTAATAACATTGATGATGGTTTTGCGTTTTGGAGAATATAAAAATATTAGCGTAATATTTTACACATGAAAAGAGACATACCAATGGTAAAGGAGAATCGATGTTTACTTAAGAGACTGTTGGAGATATATGTAGAAGGGAGGTTACTCAAGAGATTGTTTGATTTCAAGATATATGGGAATAGAAGGGAGGTTACTTAAGAGATTGTTGGAGACGCGTAACCTGCATGCATGGGACTATTAAAAATAATTTGAGTGGTTGAGGAAATCGTGGAGATAAGCAGAGAACTATTTCTTATATAGCATTTGTCTGGAAATAGAGGAGATGTAAGTTAAGCTTTNAATTTGAATAACCGTATACATCGAGCCAAAAGTGGTTCATAGTGGTTCATATTAAAATGTTTCGAGTTTGTATACATTGAACCAAGCCGGTTCATGACCAAAACGTTTACATTGTTTGATTGTAACTTTTCATTTATTTTGTCTATTGCACATTATCCAATGCATCTCATCCCAAAAAGATGAAGAGTAAATGATTGCAACTTTTCATTTTTTCCCTTAAAAAAAACACGTGTCACTCAAAGAAAGCATTAAACTCATCTTTTA